AATCCTTCTAGTTGCAGATTTTGTTAGATTTAACGTATGTGGTTTTTTTAACAACATTGACAGTTAAAAATAATTCAATTATTAACTTGCCTTAATTGATAGCTAAAAATGGTTGTTAGAGCTTACGAAGAATTGATTAAAGATAAACAATTAATTGCGGGAGAAATTATGAACGAATATAATAAGAAATTAGTTTATCCACATCTATTCGTCCGCAAATTTGAAATAGGTACACAAACTAATCCTGTATCAACTTGGGAATTGGAGGGATATGGCTAAGTTAACGAATGTTGTTTTCATAAAGATAGATTTTCGTTGTTTTTGTACAGTTTTTTTTATCATTAATAATGTAATCCAATAGTGAAATGCTAACTTTAGAAGAGTGATTATTTTTGTAACTGAAAGTGTAAACTTTTTAAAAATTTGGTTGATATTTTAAAAGATTGTAGATTATTACCGAAACAAATAAAAATAGTCGTGATTATAAATTTTTCGTGTCACGAAATTTATATTTATATAATTCAGTAATTTCTTGTAACTTTTCTTATGTACTGTTGCAAACAATAATTATTTGAAATAGATGATCACCATGCGTAACATTAGGCTTCGGTGGTTAGCGATTTCACATCTCGAATAAAGTGAAAAATTTTGCAAATCTTTAATTGGCTAAAGTATATTCGTATCGTCGATGTATCGTCGATGTTTTGAAATATACTATTTAATATCTGTTCCAAAAGTTTATTGTTATAGATTAAAAAATAATTGGATTAACAAAAATATATCTTTTAATGCTGTATAAAAAATTTATTAATATTATTCTAATAAAGACAAGCTTTTAAAAAATATTTTTATTTAATACCGTCCATTCACTTATCGAAACAGTATTTTCATAAAAAGTTAATGATTACCAATCAAAGTGTTTATATGCTATCTTGCAGATCCAATGTTTGATATCGATATCGATATCTATTAAAATTAAATACAACATCAGCAATCTTAATTAAAACATTATCATAATTTAATATAATATTATGATATCATCATTATTTACAATTCGTCCAAATTTCATTTTTGATAAAGCTATAAATTGGTTTCCAGGTCATATGGCCAAAGGATTAAGAGTAATTTCAGAAAGATTATCAAGTATAGATGTGATTGTTGAAGTAAGGGATGCTAGGATATCCTTTTAGGTTTTTTATCGATAAGATGTTGATGAATTAATTCATAATTCATTTGAGATCAAATTAATGCCTTAACATAGAAATAAATTAATACATTCCTTTATCTTCTATAAACAATAAGTTTGAAGATATAGCAAAGTTAAAAGAACGAATTATAGTTTATAATAAAGCGGATTTAGCTGATGAAAATGATCAAACGGTAAATTTACGCATAATCTATCCTATTATAAATAAATAGAAAAATATGGGTTCATTCAAATACATTGGTCCGTTTTTTTTTTGAATAATCTTTTTACAAAAGGCTATAATAGATGCATTTAGAGAATATCGTAAACAGCGCGTAATCTTTACAGATGCAATTGCGGATAAGAATGTAAAGATGATAATCGACATTGCAGCAAGTATTTATATCATTATTATTTAAGTATTAAATAACATTTATTTAATTTGCAATTTTGTGAATTGAAAATCTCTTGCTATTAGATAAAGCAATAAAAGAACCAGAAAGATATCCATATGTCACTGTAATGGTAGTTGGTATGCCAAACGTTGGAAAATCATCTTTGATTAATTCTATGAGAAAGCTCGGTGTACATAAAGGTAATGAGTTTCTTTTTTAAATCTTAATTTAAAATTTAATCGGCTAAAAATATTAAAATATTCATCATATTAGGAAAGGCTGCAAAGACTGGCGCTTTACCGGGTGTGACAAGATCTGTTTCCGCTACATCAATTAAAGTATCAGAAGACCCAACTGTTTATTTGATCGATACTCCTGGTATATTTTATTTTATTGCTTATTTTCATCACTGCCTAATTTTAGATTAACTAATTATAATGGTTAATTTGTAGGCGTTATGGTACCACACATTACTGATCCTGTAGTTTCTCTAAAGGTTGCGTTGACATGTACGAGTTTTCATCATAAATCTTTTTTATTTAGTTTTTGAACATTATAACTTTATCTTTCTAATAGGTGGTATTAGGGATCATTTATCTGATGAAGAAATTATGGCAGACTATTTACTTTGGAGGTTAAATAATTTTGGAAACTTTAGGTATTTACATCATTTAAATGTTATGATTTCATCATATATAACGTTTATTCATATGCTAATCATGTCAAATTTACATTAAAAAGTTACGTTGA